GGAGACAAGTGGGGGAGATGTCTGAACCCCCGTGTCCAAATATTTCCTCCAGGGGAAAATCTTTTGCCAGCCTCCAGGGGCAGCTGTGGGGGATATGTATCTCAGATATCCCAGGAGGCTAGCCCTGCTACTAGTTGACAGAAATCAGGGGTGAGGGCAGGGGTATCAAAGCATGGATTGCAGGTATGAGCGGGCAGCTGCTGTTCTGGCTGTGGGGTGCTGTAGCTTTTCTCATGTCCCTCCGGATATACCCCAGGCGTCAATTCTGGAAAGAATGCGAGATTTCCAGGTGTCAGGGTGGCCAGGGGTCTCTATGCCTGGGCTCGGAGATCTGGAGAGCCTTCAACCGTGCCTGCAGATGGGGTTTGTGAGCAAATGGCTCATGAGGGGCCTTAGGAAACTAAGAGGGGGGGGTCCCCCATATTGGATCTCATAGGGGGTTAGTCCAAGCTGAGACAGGGTGTTTTGTACACAGAATGGGGCTAGGGGAAGGAGCTGTACCCAGTCTCTAGTGCCAGATTCCAAAGGCTAATTTGGTAAGGGTCTTTATTTATCCTTTTTACCTGTCCTGAACTCTGGGGTCTGTATGTACAATGTAATTTTTCCCAGTCTTACCTATGTCCCGACTTTTTTTGAGCAACAAGGCAGTTTTACCATCAACCTCGATTACCTTGAACAGGCCAAACCTCGAGAAGATTTCTTCTGTGATCTTCTTAGTCCTGGTAAGAAAAAGCTTCTCTGCCATCCAGCTGATGTCCCTTTAAGTAGGCTGCTCAGCTCATTCACCATTGCTGCCCTGTCTTCTTACCAGCATGCACCGTCAAAACCGGCTCTCCTTGGCATTGCTGAACCCCAAGCTTTCCATAGTTGCGGTCTGGGAGCTGGGGGCAGTTGTTCTCTGTGAAACTTGCAAGCAGCTCGGGAAGGCTGTTTGGAATGGGGCTCCGGAACCTCCCGGGCCCCTCCTCGCTTCAGTCACTTGCTGCCTGTGGGGGCAGGTGGCTGTAAGCAGAGTTCCCAGGCTTGGGCTGTGACCAAGGCAGCTGGGAGGATTCAGCCAGCAGTGGCTGCAAAGCCTTCCTCAGCAAGGTAGGGCATGGCGAAGGCAGAGTAGTCCTGGAGAACAGTAGGGGAAGTCAACGTCTCCAACAGGTCTTTTTCTAATAAAAGCGCGGGACACTAGGAATAATCAGCAGTTCTTGTGTCCATAGTCAAATGCTTTAGACATAGCGAGGGGAACTCCTCCCCTTTTTTCCCGTACACCCCAGAATCGGATACCTGGGTGCACAGCATAAGCAAGGGGGGGGGGGAATTTCAGTACTGTCACTGTGGCTGCTGCGTTGGCCTCTCCGGTGGGCAGAGTGCCGCTTCAGTAGCCTACTGTGCTTGGCGCCTTTCTCCGACCAGCTTCTGCTCAGCAGCTGCTTTAGGAAGTGTCTCGAGCCCAAAGTCCTGTAGGGCCACTCCTCACTGCATTTGGCCATTCAAGGGCTGCTCTGTCTGAGGCGCGCAATCTCTGTAGCTGTTGTCTTCTGTTGCCTCCCTATCTGTCTAATTTTTTTTTTTATTAAGTCCTGGAGGGAGCATCTCTGCCGTTCCTCCATTTTCTGCAACTTGCTGTCTGATGCTGACTGGCCTATAAAAGACATCATTACATTGGCTTGGCGATCTGCTGCCATGGGATCAAAATGGGTTTACATCCTGTACCGTTCTAATAGTCTTTTTAAAAATCCTGTAGGAGTACTATCAGACCTTTGCTCTTACCTTAGCCAAATTAGCAAATTAGTGGGGTGCTTTGCAACCCCCCTCCTTTTTTTTAGACCCGCCAACTGGACTCTGGCAATAAAGACGGAGCTGCTCCCTACCAGCTGGAGTATTGAAGTCCCATCCTCTTTCTTGTCCGGTGATTGGGTTGGCCTGCTGTCAGCTCTTGGGACATTCTTTTTTTCTCTGTAGTTAGGAGCACCTGTAAGAGCTGCTGGCAATCATCCCAAGTGGGCTGATCAATAACCAGAACAGATTCTATAAGCCCGGTCACGGCCTGAGGGTCCCGAGAAAAGGAAGGGTTGTAAGTAAAGATTAGAAGCAGAAAAAGGCAGTATTGCAATTGGCCTGCTACTGAGTGAAGGGGAAATGTTTGGGAAGTCATTCTCATCCTTCCCCTGTCCCAGTGTGGATGCTGAGTACCGAAGTTTTCGGGGTTAGGGCCCGACCAGCGGGGCTCCTCAGGAACGAAGTGCTTCCTCCAGGGGAGGAGGAGGGAGAAGTCTGTCATGCTGGGCTGGATATCAGGAAGAACCAGAGGTGCCTGGATTCTGGGTTTCTTTTGCTCCTGTACAGGAAAGAGAGACGACAAAGGGCTTGGGGGAGGGGCAGCCACCATCTCCTCCAGCAGTGGGGCTGCTTTCGGAATCAGGGAAACTGATGATGGCCAGGGGCCGGTGCCAGGTTCTGAATTCCTGCAGGTGGATTTTAACAAAGACAAACCGACATACAAAAACAAAAAATACAAAGAGACAGACATAAACTCAAAACCAGAAGCTGGTGCTCTCATCACCACTCTGGTGTAGAACTGAAAATACACAAGAACAAAAAGACAGACATAGACTCAAAATCAGAAGCCGCGCGGCAACAAACTGATACAAACCTGGAAGGGAGTGGGTGATAAGGGCCACACTCCCTAGAAACCAAGATGACCTAGTCGCTCCTAGTTTCACAAATTGCCATTGAAGCGTCCTCCACGGCTGGGCCAGGGAGTTTTCCCGGACACGTCTGTCCCACTGCCTGGTCCCCTTCAAATATTAGCCCTGCGCAGGTACAATTTTCAGATTATTAATTCACAATTACACAGAAACAGAAACACAATATACAAACAGACAGACATAAAAATGAGCTTGTTTCTTTATACCTCCAACTGGGTCTAGAGTGTGTCTGGGAGCGACTTGATTCCCGGTCAGGGAACCAAATGTTGGACTCTAGCGTCCAAACACTGAGAAGGAGTCGCCCCCAGAGACCATCTCATACATTACAGCCGATGCAAAAGCATGAGGATTTTATTAATTCTGTCATGACAGGGTCCCCCAGCATTCGGGAAGCCGAGGGACCTCGAATAGCGGGTACAGTCTATTTTTAAAGGGGCCACAGAAGCAAGGGGGGTTGTTCTTTGACTATTCTGATTGGCTTATTTGAAAGGGCTATTACCAATAATTGACTGGAGAGCTGTTGCCAGATCAGATGAGGTAAGAGGTCATTTTGACC